TTTTTTTTTGGATGAAAGAAGAGAGTCTGTTCTTCATTTTGGTAGGTTCAGCGTTTATATGATCATAACACACAGTTTTCTGTGGCTCTTCAAAAATGAGTAAAAATGCTCAAAAACCCTGGCAGTGGGGAGTTACCTGATTTGAAAATGGCTGGCAGTGAATGAGTTAATATCGGTTTTATTGCTAACAAAGGCCTTTTCACATACTGGATATGCAATTCCATCTGTTTTCTCCAAAACGTTTTTGTCCCACAGGCCTAGAGCATCTGGCAACTGCACTATTAAGCAATGGTCATCAAAAATGTGCATTCCCTGACCAGTTGTGAGGTTATTTACTGCTGCTAAGTAAAAATTAGTATACAGTGCTGCATCATAAACCTCTTTGTGACTGCTTTGGTCACTCACAGATAGCGGCAGTCACCTGCAGCTTGCATGGAAGACGCTGACTTTTCTTGTTCCTTCAAATTGATCAGTACAGAAGAAAGCTATTTTTAACTGCTCCCTGTTTCATGGGAGGTCACCACAGCAGGTAGCTCCACATGTTTGACTTGGCAGGGTTTTTTTGGTTTGCGAAATAAATAAATAAATATTTATTATTTAATGCTGATCGAGTCAAAACCATTGCTTTGGCCTGGTGGCCATTGTTTTCAGAAGGTGTTTCTGCACACCAACAACCGGCATGTGGAAACTACCAGAACTCTACTTTGAAAAACCCTGTTTGTGTGTCACCAAATACCGTTTTTGTTCAATAATCAGCGTGACCTGTGTATATACACATAAACTTTATTAAAATAGATAACATTGGTGTTTCTGTCATGTAGTAACTGCTAGCCTTAACTGTACCAAGGTTGTTCGACACTGTGAATCACATACAGACTTCATGATGTTCAGCTAATATTTTTATTGTGAATATTGACCATGAGGGTAAACGTGTCGGCAGCATCAAACTAATCTAACTGTCATCTACGAATATGTCACAGCTCATATCTATATGATTTTACAGGAAATCATCCTTATTACTGCCAACTATTCCAGAGACGTGAAAATCTACAGCATAAAGAACACAAAAATATAGCAGTCTAACGCAACACTGTAACAGAGATGAACCGTCAGTTTGTCGCAGATCAAAGTGGAATGAAAGTGATTGGTTGAACAGGTGTGATCTGTGTTTTCTGCATTTTAATCAGCGTAAGAGACTCAGCAGCAGATTAGAATAACAGTTATACATTTAATAAATCACAAAATTAACAAACCTGTTCGGACAGTTTGAGTTTGTATTCCCTCAGCTGCAGACTCGCCGTTGTTTAAATGTTTGAGAGATATTAGATATAAACAAACGTCAAACATAGACTCAGTCTGCGTTCAC